CCCGGCACCTCCCGCACCCGCTTTTTCCACCACATCACCCCCGAAGACACCACCTCCATCACTTCCTCAGACGAGTTCACCACATTTGACCCCGACGCATCTTTCGATTCACTCGACTCTTCATCCCTCACTTCCGAGGAACTCGATGTTGTCCAATTCATGAGAATGGAGCGCAAAGATCGCAGCTCCCGACCACCCTCACCTACCCCACCCTCCCGCCTCAAGAAACTCACCCCCGAGGAGCGCACCTACCTCCAAGCAAAAGGGGGTTGCTTCCGTTGTCGCCAATTGGGGCACCAACAAACCAATTGCCCTAACGCCGCACGATTCACCCGCCAGTCCGCCTCCACTCGACCCGCAACCTCCGCATCACCGCCCTCGGCAAGCGCGGGCCACTCCTCATCATGAACACAGTCCCCAGGACACTGACCCGGCATCGACATCACATCTGTCGGCCCACCCATCGGTGGCATCCTCCGTCCCACCGATGGCCCATTTAACATCGACAATTCGTTTGCCTCCCCCCTCTCTGGCGACGCCCCCTCCACCGGACGGCTCCCAGGCGTCCCAAACGCCTCCCACTGCCTCATGCTCCTCTACCCTTCTTCCAAATCCATCCACTATCACCTTCTCCGATGTTGTTGAGGAACAGGCCCGACACGATTGGCTTGTCCGCTTGCGCAACGAACAACGCCGCCTCAACACCATCATCTCCACCGCCAACTCATCTCGTTTCCACCTCAAATTCATCGCTGCCACCCTTGGTGCGTCTACAACTAAGTTCCGGGCCCTCCTCGACATTGGAGCCACCGGTAACTTCATCACCGACTCGTGTGTCCGCAGAGCCGGTCTTACCTCTACCGGTTGTGAATCCCCGATCACGATTCGCCTAGGGGACAAAGACACCGCCGTCGTAGTAGACCGCACGGTTCCCGAGACCATTATGACCGTCGGAACCCTCCGCAGTCAGGTCTCGTTTGATGTCATGCACTTGATGTGCGACATCGTCTTAGGAACCCCGTGGCTGGACCGCTACATGCCATACGCATTCCACCCCAACTTCCTTCACCTCACCACCCCCCCCGACACAACCATCGACATCCCCTATCTCCCATATCCGACCTCCCAAGGCTCTGTCACCCCGCACCAATTCCTCCACATGGCTCGCCTAAACCCCGACTCYGCCTACTACTGTCTTGTCCTCGATCGCAAAAGTCCCAAGGACTTACTCCCGACGGACAAACCCAATCAAGCCCCCCCCTCCAACCCCGCCATCACTTCAATCCTCAACGAGTTCAGGGACGTCTTTCCCGAGTCCTTACCCGCCGGACTACCGCCGGATCGTGGCGTATCGCATACCATTGATTTGGAACCCGGACATTCTCCACCTTGCCGCCCTCCATACCAACTCTTTGTCCCCGAAGCCGAAGAAATGAARCGGCAACTCGGTGAACTCCTTGAAAAAGGGTTTATTAAGCCAAGTTCATCCCTCTTCGGAACCAGCTGCCTTTTCGTCAAGAAAGGTGGAACTTCAAAACTCTGCATGTGCACAGACTACCGCRCCTTGAACCGGATCACGATCAAGAACAAGTACCCCCTACCTCGGATTTCCGAGCTCCTTGATCATCTCCGTGGAGCCAAGTACTTTACCAAGATCGACCTTTGCAGTGGCTTCCACCAGATCCGTATCCGCGAGGAGGACACCCACAAGACCACCTTCCGCTCTCGGTTCGGGCAGTACGAGTTCCTCGTGATGCCATTCGGACTCACCAATGCCCCCGCTACCTTCCAATCTACCATGAACCACATCTTCCGCAGCCTCCTCGAAGTCTATGTCGTCGTCTACCTTGATGACATCCTTGTCTTCAGCCCCACCTTCGAGTCCCACCTTCAACACCTCTGCCAAGTCCTCTCGATCCTCCAAGAGCAAAATTATACGCCAAGCTCAGCAAATGTACGTAAGCCGCTTCGAGCGTCGAATACCTCGGCCATATTGTCTCCGCTGAAGGCATCCGTAAGGACCCCTCGAAGGTCACAGCCCTCGTCGAGTACCCCCCACCCAAGACCCTCCTCCAACTCCGTTCCTTCCTTGCCCTTGCCAACTATTACCGCCCGTTCATTCGCAACTTTTCCGAGATCTCTTACCCTCTCCACGAACTCACCCGCAAGGACGAGCCCTTCCATTGGAACGATCGCCGCCAACACGCTTTCGACTTACTCAAGCAAACCATCACCACGGCCCCTGTCCTCAAGATCGCCGACCCCACTCGCCATTTCTATGTCACCACTGACGACTCCGACTTCGCCATCGGAGCCGTACTGTCCCAACATTTCCCCCGCGACACCGCCGAGACCCCCTCCATTAAGGACTCGCCCACTCACCCCGAGGCTCCACCTGGCGAATACCCTATCGCCTTCGCAAGCAAGAAGCTCCTTCCCGCGGAGATGAATTACCCCTCCAACGAGAAGGAACTCCTCGTCGTGATTCACATCCTCACAGTCTGGCGACCGTACCTCCACGGGCAATACTTCACCATCCGCACTGACAACACCATCGTCTCCTCCATCCTCTCCAAGAAAGATATCACTCCTCGCCAAGCCCTCTGGCTAGACTTCCTTGCCTAGTTCACATTCACCATTTGCCACACCCCCGACAAAAGCAACCGCGTTGCGGATGCCCTCTCTCGACGACCCGACCACAAGCCCCCCGAGAAAGTCTACGCCGCCATGACTCATATTCAACTCCTTCTGTCACTTCATCGTCGATACACCCAAGGCTATCTCTCCTGCTCAGACTTCGCCACCATTTACAACAAGCTCTGTGATCTTGACCCAGTTCCCAACTACTCCCTCCACAACAATCTCCTCTACATCGATATCAAAGGCACTCGCCAACTTTGCATCCCCGACGCACGGGGCCTCCGTACTCAGCTCTTGGCCGAGCACCACGCCAAGACCGCAGGACATCTCGGTTTCCAGAAAACCTTCGACACCATCTCCCGCTACTTCTACTGGCCTTCCCTACTCGCCGCATTAAGGCATACATTCGCTCGTGGCCCACGTGTCAAGCTGCCAACCCCTCGAACCGGGCCAAACCCGGCAAGCTCCAATCATTGCCCATCCCAACTCACCGGTGGCAGTCCATCTCCATGGACTTCGTGTGCGGCCTCCCCAMGACCGACCGCGGGCATGATTGCATCTACGTCATTGTCYGYCGCTTGACCAAACGTGCCCACTTCRTCCCTTGCACGACCTCGCACAGTGCCAAAGACGTCGCCACACTCTTCTTCRACCATGTTGCTCGCCATCACGGCCTCCCCGAGAACATCATCAGTGACCGTGATCCTCTCTTCCTCTCACAATTCTGGAAACACCTCTTCACGGCCTACGGAACCACGCTCAAGTATAGCACTGCATTCCACCCACAGACCGATGGACAAACARAGAAGATGAACGATACACTCCAAAGAATCCTGCGAAAGTATTGTCATCCACACCAACACGATTGGGATCAGTTGCTCACAACCGCCGAGATTGCCTACAACAACGCTGTTTGCCCCACCACTGGCATGTCCCCTTTCTACCTCGACCTTGGCTACCATCCCCGCTTGCCCTGTGATTTCTTGCTTCCCTCGCAGCCCCTCCCCCCCTTGCCCCTCCACTCCTTCGGACACACCAGCCTTTGCATCCTGAACAAACATTTTCATTTTTATTTTTCCTGACTTTGACAACCCTGTAGAACATCATTAGCAGATCCCTGTTTCCCTAACCATTGTTCCCCGTACCCAC